CTGTAAGCTAAATAAATCTCTTTTCTTTATAAAGTACCCAGCTTCAATGATTTTAGCTGAAAATGGACTAATACAAATATTATTCATGACGATATTGTTGATTGAGAAAAATGTGCTTCAAAGTGGCTTCTATTGTTACTAAACTTCCCTACAAAGAGATAACCATGGAAACACCCTTCTACTCACTGCTGTCTCCCAAACACTGCTAGGTATATAGTAGGTGCTCATTAAATAGTTGCTGGATGAACAAGTACAATGACCTCCATTTAATGGCCCAACAGATTTTTTCCCTTAGGCTGAGAGAAGCTGAGTTTTCCTTTGTACAAAGAGTGCAAAGCACTTTTCAGACAAATGTGACACACATAAAAGCAGTCTACGCCAAGCTCAAGTCCATCCTGCCCACTTCTGAGCAGTCCTAAGGGTTCTTCCCCAAACACCACTGTACCCTACAGCCCCAGGGAGCCACACAGAAACCCTTTTCAGAGGTCAAGAATGAAAGATGGGATGCTTAATCTTGATTGTCAACTTGTCTGGTTCGGGAGATTCCTAGGAGCTTATTAATAAAACATACTTGGGTGTTTAAAACATACCTGGGTGGGTAATGAGGGTGTGACCTGGAGACTATATCTGGTCTCTGGCCCGTTCCTCTCTGACTCTTCTCTTGCTCTCTTGCTTCCCAGAGGCCATGAGCTAAGCTACTTTCCTCCACCAGGGCCTACCACCATGATATTTCTGCCTTGGAGCAAGTTGACTATGGACTCCTCTAAACCCATGAGCCTAAATAAACCTCTGGTCCTTTAAGTTGAGTGCATCAGGTATCTTATCCCCATAAGGTAAAACTGATCAATATTAAAGGAAAATGAGATTCTTAAGTGTTGGTGATACATTACACCTAGCACCAAAGCATGGACAACATCCCTAAGTGAAGTCCATAAGATTAAGAGTGTACTTGCTGACATAAGTGTATTCTAATAGACAAAGCAATTGTTAGCTTGCAAGCCAGGATACTGAAAATGACTTGAGAGTAAGGAAAGAACCTTTCAATTCAAGGGATCCCATTGTTTTCAGGATGCATGTTTTACTTTCTTTGATTCCAAAAAGGGAAGCTCAATACTTGAAAAGATATTTTTATAATTGTGAAGAGGAAAAAGAAAAGCCCAAAGTTCTCTTTCTGTCTTTAACTAGATCAAACTGAAGGACTTGACTACCAGGGACACCATTTCAAAAGAGATTTTGCTGCACTGCAGTTCACCAGCTGGTAGCAGTGGCCCATCGCCTTCATAATAGTGTAGACTCTAGTACATTGTTCCTTCACAGTTACAGCCACCTTCTGTCTCACTGTTAATGACTGAATTGTGTCTCCCCAAAAGATGCTGAAGTCCTAACCCCAGTGTCTGTTCATGTGACCTTACTTCGAAATAAGCTCTTTGGATGTTCAAGTTAAGATGAGGTCATGGGAAATTTGAACGGGGACAAACTCAAGAAGGGAGACATCTGAACAGAGAACAGACACACAGGGAGACTACGATGTGAAGGTAGGAATTACCCCACTCTAAACTAAGGGAACTATCAGAAGCTAGAGGAAGGCCTTCAGAGTCAGCACGGCCCTGCCAATACCTTGATCTCCAACTATAAGGCTCCAAAACTGTGAGATAATTAATTTGTTACTTAAGCCACCCTTTTTGGGGGACTTCATTGTGGTAGCCCAGAAAACTAGTGCACTCACCTTCCATCCAATCCTTCTCCCAAGCCCACATACTCACTGCTCTATGACGTAAACATTTCCTGCACACTCAGCAATGTGTGCTTTTCCTAGGGTGACCAAGCATCCGACTTTATGGAAGACGGCCTCCAGTTATGCCTGCTATCCCAGCATTATACGGTTTTGGATCACATATTCTGTGGTTACTGTAGTTTTTCTTTTTCTTTTTCCCTAGTTGTAGGTACTGAAGCTAGGACCATGTGCATTCTAGGCAAGCACTCTACCACTAAGCTACATCCTTAGCCGTTTTTACTGTTTGCTTTGAGACAGGGTCTCACTAAGTTGCCCAAGCTGACCTCAAACTTGTGATCCTCCTGGCTCAGCCTCCCAAGTAGCTGGGATTATAGGCATGTACTGCACACCTGGCTTTACCATAGCTTTTGTCTCTGCTAACTTCAGTTTAGAGTGAGCCTCCCTTCCTTTTCTACCTGCTACAGTTTTGCTCATTGGTCAAGGCCCATCCTAAACATCGCTGTTGCTATGAAACATATGCTAACTAATCGGAGAGTTCATTGTCTCACCTTCTGAGCTCATGGCATTTCATAGGTCTCCAGTCTATAGCGCTGATAATGGCAAATCAAATGTATCTTTCTCAGAGATGTCCCCTGAACTCCTCATTAGCCCAGGGCCCTGTCACTGCTCTCATTGTACCCTGGACTCTCCTCCCATCTTGGTCTGTGGTCTAAGCACTAATGAGCTACTTGGGGGAGTTTGCAACCCTGACAATAATTCATTATTTGTTTTGACCAGTGACAGTAGGACCATATTTATTTCCCAGAACACAGTACAAATGTGTCAGATTTGAATGGATAAACATGAGACATGTGTTTAAACGCTCACCCTGTGGATAAAGCAGTCATTTCTTGCTTGTCTTGGTTGTGTCTTAATCCTCTCTGTGTCCCCTTTGGCACATAATACTATGTCTAGAGCATCAAAGGATTCATTGATTGTTTACTGAGATAGAGTTTAGTTTAAGAATGTAACTCAGCTGCTGAACACTACTAAAAGTAAAAAAAAAAAATACTCTACTTACTCCCCTCTCTGAAAGGGTCAAATGTGTGATACTGGGGTCCTCCTGAAAAGTAAACACAACTGGAACAATAACAGGCCTCAAAGTGACTTCTACCCAGACAGAAAGGTGACATAATTACAAGTTGTCTGCTGTCCAACAATTGCTGCAGAATGGAGAAAGGTAAGGGAAATGATCCATTTCCACCTCCAGACCAGATGACTTCAGGCAAGAGTTGTTTTAGATATGCATGACTAATGATGGAAAAGGAGCGCCAGGAGCTACTTTTATTTAAAAGGGTCAAATAGCAGAACTTCAAAATTGTACCTTTAAGAAACAGATTAGTGGGTTGATTTTTTGGAGCAACATCTCCATGCCCCAGCCCTTGATAATGACCATTCTACTCTATACTTCCCTGAGTTTGACTTTTCTAGATTCCACATATGAGTGAGATCATGCAGTATTTGTCTGTGTCTGGCTTATTTCATTTAACATAATGATCTCCAGTTCCATCTGTTTCCACAAATGAGAAGGTTTCATTTTTAAGGGCTGAGTAGTATTCCATTGCATGTCCACACAAAGTCAAACCCAATTTTTCAGTGCTGGGAGCCTCATGCATGCCAAAGTGATAACTTTTAAAGAGAAAAGTGTGCTGCATAGGAGGACATTCTGGATTATCATTGAAAGGTGAGGCTCTGGCCCCAGCACCACAACTTATAGCATAATTAGCTTGAACTACTCACTATCTTTCTGAAACTTGGTTTCCTCATCTGTAGAAGAGGGTTAATCACCCTATTTATTTGTCTTCTAAGGCTATTGTGTGGACCAGATAAGAAGAGGGATTGAAAGTGTTTTGCAAACTTAAAAATCCTGAATATACTAGGGGCTGCCCAAAGTGGCTTTCCAAGAAATTCAGAGAGAAAACAAAAAGCAAGAAATGTGATATTGACATTAGAATAGACACATAAATTAATGGAATAGAACTGAGAATCTGGAAATAAATCCTCATATTTATGGTCAGTCAAATTTTGACAAAGATGCCAAGAAAATTCAATACAGGAAAAATAGTTTTTTCAACAAATGGTGCTGATATACTTAACATTCAACATGCAAAATATGAAGTTAGGTCTCCACCTCACACAGACACAAAAATTAAGTCAAAGTGGACTACAGACCTACATGCAAGAGCTAAGACTATAAAACTCTTAGAAGAAACTATAGTAAATCTTTGTGACCATGGATTTGACAATGGTTTCTTAACTGGGGCTTTTGCTCAGTGGTACCACACCTGCCTTGCAAGTGCAAGGTCCTGAGTTCGATCCCTGGTACCAAAACAAATAAACAAAAAAAGACAATGGTTTCTTAAATATGGCACTAGAAGCAAAAAAGATAAAATAAGAAAATAGATGAATTGGACTTCATCAAGATGAAAAACGTACATGCATCATTAAAAGCCATCCACAGCATTGTCCATCCAAAACCGTGCACAGAATGGGAGAAAAGGTTTGCAAATAATATATCTGATAATGGACTTGTACCTAAAATACACAAAGAATTCTTAAAACTCAGTAACATTACCCAGTTTAGCAAAATGGGAAAATGTTTCATTAGACGTTTCTCCAAAGATGATATGCAAATGGTTTGTAAGCAAATGAAAATATGTTCACCTTCAATCAGCTCTAGGAGATGCACAACAAAACCACAACGAGGTGCCATTTCTCACACACTAGAATTGCTATAAGCCAAGACTTAAGAACAGAAACACAACAGAAAACTTACCTTACAGAGGGAGGGGATCTTGTGAGTTGGCATTTCTTCCGAGTGGCTTTGTAACCGAACTGGGGGGTAATTCTCTCCCCATGCTGCTTCTAGCCTAGGCCTTAATGTCCTCCATGCACACTTTATGTTTGCCTACCTATGACGAAGGCAAACAGGGCGGGCCCTAGGGAACGTTGTGATGTCATCACAGTGAGCCTCTGAGTCCAAGAATCCCTGGGACAAAGAAACTGGGTTTCTCTGCGTTTGAACGTTTTCGTGTCCTGTTACTTGGCTCTAGCTCCCATCTACTACCCGGGAGAACAGAACCTGCGACTGGCCGGGCCTCCCAATGGAGGCCCTAACTCAACATTAAGTCCCTTGAGAAAGCGGAAATGAAACAGCAGCGGAAGTAATCGCTCCGGAGCTCGCCTGCGCGGGAAAACGGAGTCGGGGTTGAGGCCCACAGTATTCAGGAGCCCAGAGAGGAGGTGAGAGAAACTCTGATCCGTGTGGCCCACGAGCACAATGCTCCCTCTGCCCGGACACAGCACCTAGGCCTCCTCCATCCAGGTAGGCACTCCACGTCCCACCGCTGTGGGGCCGGGTTTTATCTTCCGGTGGCGGCTTTGCCCCAGTTCCTGTCAAGCCCTTGCTGTGTAGCACAGCCTTCATATGTGCAGGCCAGACCTCCCCCATCCGTGCTTCTTCTGCGGCCTTGGACCTCTTACAAAGCAAACAAGCAAAAAAGAGATTGCCAATTCTGGACAGTCTGAGAACCTTAACTGAGGTGACCTTCACCCCCTTTACATCAAATTTATTGAAGTATGAATTATCTACAATGAAATTCAGCCATGTCCTGTTTCTAACGTAATGACTTTGATCAGTTGTATACAGTTGCACAATTATCATCACAGTCAAGATATAGACCATTGGCATCACTCCCAAAACACCTCTGATTCCCCTTGAGAATCCATTCACTCCCATATCTCTGGGTTGACTTTTGATTCAAATCCCACAAATCTGCTTTCAATTGCTGTAGTTTTGTCATTTCTGAAATATGAGGGGCTGAGGCGTAGCTCAGCAGAAGAGCATTTGCCTAGCAGGCTGAGGCCCTGGGTTCCAGACCCAACACCGCAAAAACAAGCAAAATATAATACAAATGGAATCATAGGGTCTGTACTATTTTGTGTGCAGTTTATTTCACTTAGCATGACATTTTTGAGGTTCATTCATGTTGTAGCATAAGTCAATAATCTTCCTTTTTATTGCCAAGTAACATTCCCTTGTATGCACTGTATAGATCACCATTTGTGTAGCCATTCACTGGTAATAATAATTTACCTTTTTGACTGTTTTATTTGATTTGATTTTGTTTTGTCTTTTGGTACCAGGGATTGAACTCAGGACCTTACGCTTGTAAGGCAGGCACAGTGCCACTGGGCTAAATCCCCAGCCCCATGACTATTATGTTTGAAAGACTGCTACGAATATTTGAATCCAAGTCTTTATGTCAATATACGTTTCTACATCTCTTGGATACATACCTCAAAGTGGTATTGCTGGGCTGTGTGTATGCTTAACTTTATAATCCACTGCCAAGCCATTTCTAAAGTGGCTGCACCATTCTGCTGAAGCCGTAAATGTGGGTGGGGTGGGGAGAGGGAGGTAGGGACAGTTGCTTTGCTCTTCTCTTAAAGTAAGTCCTGGACATTCCTTGCTTATTCTTCACAACAAGCTTATGAAGTAGATACCGATATCCTCACGTCACAGAGGGGGAAATGGAGGCTTGGACAGATGTACTTCCTTGCTCAGAACCACACCTAACAAGAAGAGCTGGGATTTAAACCTGGGGCTTGCAGGCCAGTGCCCAGGGCCTTAACCTCTGCCTTCTTCCACCGCTCTCTCCAGTGACTCTTTGCAGCAGCTCTGAAATGCTGCCAGCTTGACCCGCTTCCATTTAGCCTTACTGTGTGAGGACACAGCAGCCCCAGGAAGTGGCATGTGACCCGTTTTGCAGAGAAAGCAGCCAGTGATCAGAGAGGCTAAGTGGCTCTTCCAAGGTCAGCAGCTTGCCTGTGAAATCGTTGGGACCCAGTTCCAAGTGGCATGGTGCCTCACCTTTACTCCCTGAACTTTTCATTTCTTTTTCTTTTCTTTTTGTACCTGGGATGGAACTCAGGACCTTGTGCTTTCAAGACAGGCGTGGCACCACGGAGCTAAATCCCTGACCCTGAACTTCTCATTTCAGATTGCTTACTTCTTCTGCTTCTTCTTTCATCCCTAAGGGAGCCCCCTCCTCTTCCTCCACCTTCTCACACTTGAGTCCTAGGAGCCAGGAGTGGTAACTGGGAAAGAGGCACACAAGGATCCAAGTGGTGAGTGTATCAAGACAGGAGCAGACACCCCTCTCTCTGGCCTGCTTCTCAAGGATGGGGTTCTGGGTTCCCCCTAGTTCTCCCTATTCCACTCCCCAACCCCAGAGAACAGGATAGAGCACTAGAGAGCAAGAGTCTTTTCCAGCCTGGATCTCAGCTGAAGCAGGATAGCCTAGGGTGGTGGGGGACACTGCATGTGGGATGTGCAGCTCAGAAAGTTTGTCAAAGAAGCAGCTTCATGTCACATCCAGTGCTGCCTCTCCTGCTTGTCCAGGAGCCCCAGACTGGGGGGTCAGCCATCTCTCCAGAACCCTCTACCCCAGGCTACAGAATGTATGCATAAAATAAAATGCAGGCAAGCCTGAAGAAGCCGCAACACGCGTGCACACGCGAAGCTCAGAAGGAACAGGTCTTGGTTAAGAAGCCAGCAACCTTGCCAAGGGCAGAGCGGTAAATCGCTTTCACATTTGTTCAGTTACTTGACCTCTGCACTTAGTGTGAGGCAGACACAGCAGTGGCCACAGCATTTCACAGGCCAGAGGCCAGTCTTCTCTACAGCACCTTTCTGTTTGGACCTCATCCTCCCACAGGTGAGACACGACCCAGCTGGACCCTGGCAAAAGTCCTTTCTTGGATGAGGACCGTCCCCCATCCCACACACCCCAGTTTGAGCAATGGCATTAACTTCTTGGACACTTAACTCACACCTACTATATACGAGGTCTCCCACCCCACTGTGGCCCTCTCTCCACTATCCACATTTTCCTCTGTTACTCTGCACCAAGATACACAGAGGCTGGGAATCCAGTTATTCAGCAGCCCACCAGGGAGCCTCTCTGGCATGCAAATTTAATGAGCATGCTTTGAAAGCCAGCACAAATGTGAATGTGATTCAAAGAAGTTCATCCTCTGGGGAGGGGAGTTGGCAGGGCAGACTCAAAGGGAAATGATGACATCAGAAAAAATGACAAAAGCTCTGGGGAACATCTAAATTGCCCTAGGCCAGGAGCAGCTCCTATTCTGCTTTCTTCGGAATTTGGCCAATCTAAGAGAAAGGAGAGAGTGGGAAGGACTAGAGGAAGAAAAGAACCTGGAGCATCCAGGGAATAGAAAAGAGTTCCCAGTGACTAGATCAGAACTTGGGGTGGACAGAGTAGCGGCATCCTGGAGGGAGTGGCTAAAGAATGGTTTGGGTGGGATTCAGAAGACTTTGCTACTCATGTAAGAAGTCTAGGCTCCTCAGTAGGGTATGTTTGTGTATATATAGTGATCCTCCTTATCCTGCGCAATAAGCCCAGGCTGATGAATGCCCTGGCCGGTACAAATCTGATATATAAGTTTTTTTCCTACACACATATGCATATGATAAAGTTTAGTTTGTAAATTGGGCACAGTAAGAGGTTAACAACAACACTTAAAAGCAAAATAGAACAATTATAACAATATACTTTAATGAAATTGGAAGTGTCACTACTATTGGGCTTTGAGGCCATTATTATGTAGAATAAGGGCTATTTGAACCCAATCACTGTAATACTGTCAATCCAATGACTGAGGCAAGCTACTAAGTGACTAGCTGGCCAGTGTAGATCCAGGAGTGTATGAAGATGGAAAAAGGGACTATTCATGTTCTAGGTATGAAGGAGCTGGGCATTGATTCCATCACCTCGGAATGGTGTGAAATTTAAGACTTATGAATTGTTTATTTCTGGAAGTCTCCATTTAATACTTTTGGACCACAAATGAATGTGGATAACTGAAACTGCAGGAACAAAACTGAGGGTTAAAAAGGACTAGTGTATAATGATGTGTCAATACAAGTGTGTGTTAGGCTGGTATCAGGCAAAAGAGCTATTTTTAGATGTCAAAGAACTAACTCTTAAGAGTAAAAAAGATCATGATAAAGTAATACTATTTACTCAAAGTGTTCATGTATAATTATTAGGCAGCACAGGGATATTATACGCATTCTTCTATGTGCCAGATTGCTGTATTTGATTATACACTGAATTGTCTTCTTGGAGTTTATCTTCTTTCTTACCTTTTTCCCTTTCGCTTTATATTTACTGTATTAATGGTCATAGAACTCAAACGTCAAAATGAAGAAGTTTTGAACTGAAATGCTTCCTTTCATTAAGCCTATATAGCATGCTTGAAAAGATGGGACACCCCAGCCATTATGTTAGTTGGGTTTGTGCGTTGCCGATCTTGCTCCAGAGTCAGTGAATTTTTTTTTTGTTCCCTATAGTATCTCAACTTCATGCAGCCAACCCTAAGGACCCAGTGATAGCTCATGTTAGTGACATCCGCGAGAAGTTTTGTCTAGGGAAGATTTCCCCTTTACGGGAGAAAAACAGCGAAACCCAGACAAGAGTCCTGGGACTACGCTTCCCAGCGGCCTCCGCTGGGCGCTGGCTCCAAACTTCCCTTACAGGGATGGCCCCTAGCATGTTGGCCCTGCCCACTCCAAGCACCATATTACGAACTACAATTCCCAAATGCCTTCACGAGCTGGACCCTTCAAAAGGGATATCCCAGCAGCCTCGCGGGCGAAGAGCCCCGCCCCTCGGAGCCGCTCCCCAGGTCCTTCGGAGCCTTCCCACGTCACGTGGTGCGTCTCCGCCAACCGGCTCATGGAGGAG